AGTTTGAGTGCTACTGTGTCTAGCCTTGCCATTGAGACTTTGTTCTGGCCTGTGGGCTCTCTTGCTGAATTTCTCTTTAGCTATCTGTTCCTGCCCCCTCCACCTACTTTAAGCTAAATTGATGAAGGCATGTGTATCTTTTAACGAGATTTATTTTCTAATGCTTTTCTCTGAACCCATCTCAATTTACCAGCAAAGTTACCCACATATGAGCATTCAAATGGGACATGGCCCTTATTTTCTATGCCTAGAGAATACATGTGACTGCATTTTTAATCATATTTAAATGCTGTTTAGCAGGGGTTACTGTGTGAGCGACTCGTCATCTTCCTTCGTGCATCACTTTCCCTAAATCTTTCTCTTATCTGCAAGCTTTTCACGTAAGGTTTGTTGTCATCTTTTGCTGTCTTGCCTGTCTGGCAGAGCCARATAGAAGGATGGGAATCTCAGTGGAAGCAAACCCTTGTTTTCCCRGAGGAAAAGGACGTGGGGATGCTGGTTGTCAGCAGCTGAACAGGATCCAGCAGTTCCCAGGTGRCCAGGAARGCCAGTGGCATCCTGGCCTGTGTCAGCAGGACCAGAGCAGGGATTGTCCCCCTGTACTCAGCACTGGTAGGTCCCAAATCCTGTGTTCAGTTCTGGTCACCTGTAAAAGTGAACATTCTGTGATGGATCAAGGGCTCCACTCTAGGATTTCCAGCATCATTTAAAAAGTGATGAGATTAAGGCACTTTGAACAAAGAGGTCTGTGAGTGTAAACATCCCCAGAACCTGCATTGCTAAAACAACCTGTGAGCAAGCTCATGTGGTGTAAGCACATACAAGACACTGCCCAGATGCAGTTCAGGGCTCTGGGACTATTCCCAATATCTGTAGAGGCTGTATGGGTCAGGCAGTGCAGGGTTGGCTCCCCCTGTTCCATGTATCTTCAGTGCTGTCCTGGGGAGCCTTGCATCTTTAAACTTTGTTCTGACAAGATTTGATGCCGCATTGCTGTGTGTGCAGCACACACCCATGCTGTGAAAATACTGCTMTGGGAGGCACTAACACTCCCAGCACCACCAACATTTCTGAAGTAAGTGTGGAGGGCCTCCAAGAGGTGTGTAGAAGCCCCATAGGGCCACTTCATGTCACACAGGTCACTGGCCTTTTTTATATGTGCCAGCAGAGGTGACAGCTGCTATAGCAGCAAATGAAATTTAAAGAAGGCGAGTTCTTTGCCAGCCATGTCCCAAGTTATTTAGGAGTTTATATGCCGATGTACTGGATACTATTTTACCCAAGGAGCCATCAGAAACCTGGCTGTAGATCATGACTGTATAATACACTCTGTGTGAAATAAGGCCTGATGTCACTATCAGGTGCTAAGACAAGTTTCTGAAGGGTGACTGAATTTAACAGCCTTTTATGGTGCATTGCATTAACTTAATCTGTAGGTGACAAAAGCATTGATGAAGTGCCCTAAGACCTATAAAAAAAAAAAAACCACACCTGTTTATGAAGCCAGGTGTAAAAATGCAACCATATCCAGAGCTGAGGCGTCAATGTTTGAATCCACTTTCGGAAAATCCCAGTGTCAGAATCTCAAAAAGCAAGATCTTCACAGGAAATACAGAGGACTGCTGCAGCAGCTCCTAGAAGCTCCTTTCTCCAGCTACAAGCCCTATTTTCATATGAAAGATGCAGCTGTTCCTGCCCTCCCACCAGTCTTTTCTCCCAGCCTTGCTGAGCTGGAGGGATGTCAAGACCACGAGTTGCTCAAATGATGGAGGAGGCAGGAGTTGCTTTGCACCCYCTTTATGCTCATCTTCAGATCTGTATATCTGCATGGGAGATACRCTGTAGCCAGATTAACTAACTAGGTTAGTTTGCTCCTTAAGAAGATACTGGGTAGTACTCTATGGCACTTCTGTTACAGGAAGTGAGGCTTGATTTTCTGCATCCCTAAAACTCCTATGTTACTCAAAAAGACAGGAGAAAAGCAACTAAAGTCAAATAAAATGCCAGCTATACCTCACTGAAATATTAACGTCTTTGCTTTCCTCTTGATCTAAAATAAACCTAATTTTCTTAACTTAATATCAAAAGTAGAATGGTTGATTCAATTGGCTTATGCTGTTATGGAGGAAAATAGTATTTTTCATGATGATTCAATTGTTGGACCTTTCCATCTTCCRGTGGTGAAAGCATTTGAAAACAGAGAATTTTCCTTATAGCAAGACACGGATTAAAATCACAAAGTTTGAACCTGTCTGAAATATTTCCCAAATTCAAGATCCAGGAGATTAATAGTGGGAGTTCTTTAAATCCTCCTAGGGAAACTGGAGTTAAGGGTATTTTAAATATGAGTTTCATGTAGTWGTGACAGTATCTGCATCCATTCAATTTGCTTCATTAAAAGCTTGGTGATGAGAAAGAGAGAAGTATTTGGGTGTCAGACTTGAGGTTTGTCTACATTTGTCTGTCTTCAGCTCACAAAAATGTCTAAAACATTTTCCAAAGGCTCAGCTGCGATCTGCCCATTCTTTATGCATTTAAGACAATTGCAAGGCAATTTCCTCTTCTGTGAAATAGCTTTCTACGCAGATAGAGCATAGCTGTACTAGAACTTGKTTTTTTCCTAGGCTGTTTTCCCAGACTTGCCTCAGATCCTCTCTTTTCTCCAGTAGTCGGTGATCCAGCCTGTTTTATCTAATCTGTTCCATCTTGGCCTCTATGCTGCACTCATCCCATGGTTCTTGAATGTCCCAAGAGCCTGCCTTTGTTGCCTTTTTGGCCCCATGAGTCTCATTCCTTCAAGTCAAGAAAAACCTGGGACAGCTATCAGATAAAACCAATTTGGTCTTGTCTGATAATCTCCATGTAATCTCCATGATAATGTCCAAGCCCATCCTTCAGTTTGGTGTAGAAAAAAGCCTTCCAAGYTCTGTCCAGGACAAAAGGACAGGTCTTTGTGTCCTTCATCTCCTTTGAGCAAGTTCTTGGCTACCCCTGGACAGTGAGGCAGCAAGCAGGCTGTGAGAACTGCTGCCATGGAACTCTCTCCTGCACCTTGTCCCAAATTTGTCGTTGGCTAAGCTCATAGCTGGACCTCCTGAAATTTCCCTCCTGGCTAGCGTTGGCCAAACATGTGTTCTTGTTTCCCTCTCGTGGTGTGCCAGCTCCTGGCTTAGTCTGGGTATTTTCACTTGTGCCAGGGGTGAGGGCTGTGCCAGCTGCTCCAAGGCTTCAGTTGGATCTGGGATGGCCTATGAAAAGGGCAAGAAGTTGCTGCCTTTCTTGGTGGATGGCACTGGAGTTCCTGAGGATTCAGGTGCTGGAGTGCATGTAGCCATGACCRTGCAATGCTTTAATGCAGCAAGGATATGATTTCTCAAGTGACAAGCCCCAGAAATATGAAGTGTTCTCTGAATTTCTGCCTGGGTGGGAGTGGCACCTGGGTAGAAGTGGCCCACCTGTCACGTGGCTGTTCTGACAAACACCTACTGAGTATGTCAGTCAAAAAAGGAGCACACTCAAGAAATACATCAATCTGACAGTCTAAAAATGGTGTGAATCATTGTGAGTGTGCTACTCAGAGATTGAGCATGTTTCCACCTAGGAAAAACGTTGTACTTTTGAGGCTGAAGGTCCATATTATTTGTGAAAAAATTAAAAGCCTCCCAAACATTTCTGTGAGTCGAGGGCAAAAGTTGAAATTACAATCTTGTTTTTCTGAGGTAATTTTGTCATGTAATAAACCAAGACACTCTTTAATCTTTTAAGGAGAAGGTCTGGCAAACTTCCCCAGCTGATCTCCTCTTCCCTTTCTTACACCCTGCAGCATGCATATGTGATTGGGAAATTGAGGCACCCAGCAATTCCTGCATGGAAAGGGTAATATCCCTAACAGTCATTTTAAAGGCCAGTCACCACTATCAGGAATATACTTCAGATAACTTAAAACATTCATATTTCACTGAACAAAAGCAGTGATTGGTGTACAGGCTATCCAGTTTGTGGCAAGGCTGTCAGAGCTGAGGTCTAGGATGGGCACAGAGGATCCTGATGTTTGTCCCTATTCAGATCCAACCATCCACTAAAAATGCAACTGCCAGAAGAAATGCTGGCACAAAGATGTAGGAAACAACCCTCTTGTTGTTATTTCAGCAATTACTGTTTCAGAGAAGGGACCATATAACTGCGGGGCCTCAAGAATCAAAAGTAACAGATGCATGCTGGAGTAGAACATTAATGTTTGATTTATAGCGCAGAAGCATTTTCCTCTGCTGCCAGGTGTCTCTTAAGTCTGAGTGCTTCTTGCTTTGTTAGATGTATTCTCCTGTAAACACTTTGTTGCTGCTATTACATTTTCCCATGCTGAAAGTCTATCGCAAAGACTTTTTTTTCTGAGGCATTGGCAGATGGCAATTAGCACCCTTCATATTCTTTCCCCATAACTTCAGCAGTTTTTTGCCCGCATCCACTTAACAGCTCCAGGCATGCCAAATCGCACGCTTCTGGAGGACTTGTTGCTAGTAGCAGATCTTTGATTCTAAATGCCTGAGTAGCGTCTGAACTATATTTAGAGCAAGTACATGCCTGCCTATTCATGATCTTTTGTGTGTAGCCTGGACAGCTCAGTGCCAGTGTGCAGCATAATCAGCTTCTCCTTCAGCGCTCAAATTCCACAGCTCTTCAGAGAGGAAGGGAGAGGGGARAGAGTGGTGGGCAAGGAAACAAGGATAGTAATTAAATATGACTTAGGGAAAAATTCCCTCAATAGCAAATTAGCCTTGCTGTTTTACTAATGTTACTGCTCTCTTCGTAAAGCCCCAGCCATGTAATTATTGTACAGTCATAACTCCTACAGACTTTCTAGAGAGTTGTACAGTACCGAGTGAGGCTGTGAACATCAAGAAGTAGTCTCTGGTTTCCTGGATTGCTAAGGAAAGAAAGAACTGACTACATTTCCTGTTTAACAACATTTCCATTAACTTAAAAATCTTTTAAAATTCTAGGTARTTGTCCTACAGCTTTGTGATGGAAGGACATCTGGAGTAACAAGGACAASCCTACAGCAGATGTAAGACAGTTATTTGGCTTTGGCACTTACTGACTCATATAAATGCTCAGAATTTATATATTCCAAGCATATGATTTTTCTAAGTTGTGTTTGTAAGTACTTTGTTCTGCAACATTAGAGCAAGATGTTTCTACTGTGGGACASAGACAAATTCAACCAATTTGATCACATCACAGTAAACAAAAAGATGGTCAAACATACCTGTTCATTCACTTAGAGAATAATAGGTAAATTTGAATTTATGATTGACTCTACCACTAACTTTTATCTCGCTTGGGAGACTGTTTCCATTAAATTTCTAATATGGCACCTCTTCACAGGGAGACAACCATAAGTGTTTTCCTCATAAACCTCTTAAATAATAACCACATCTTTCCCTTGAACTTACATAAGACTAACAAAATACAAGATAAGCCTGTAATTTTCTACTGAAAGAAAAATAATTAATGGAACCAAGAAGGGACCCTGCTCTGATTTGTCACTGTTACATTTTTTGTCTATCCTTATTTAACCAGTTTTTAACTTTGACAGTTTTTCACTGGTTGAAGTGAAMTCTGAACATGTTCATATGTTCAGTGTGGGTGGCTGAAGAAATGGGTGAAGAGTTTGTTCAGCCACTGATATCCAGCTGCAGAGCACAGGCCCATCTTGTGAAAACACAAAAATGAAAACCAGTCAAAATGTGTGTACAATTCCCTGTAAATTGCACTACTAAATGAGAGAATACAATGTGTTTAATGTCCTTACTTTTTCTAAATGTACTTGCTGTTGACTTGCCTTGAGAACCAGCATRGTAATTTCTTTACCTATGCATCACTGGTTTTCTTTGAGTGAAATGCAATGCTCTTTGCRTGTTTCTGGCTCTTATGTTCCATTAAAAAAATGTCCTTACTTCCACTTTTTTTTGTTGTAGCGCTGCTGCTGGAGATGAAAACTGTGTCTGACTTCTTCCCACATGATGGATTGTAGGTATCAGCCTATGCCAGGAACAGAGGGTGCTGTGCCTTCATCTGTAACAAGCAGCTGAAATTTTCAATTCCCTCTGAACAGAAGTGTGGGGTTTTCCAGCAGAAGGCAGGTGAAAAACCTGAGCTTGCACTTTTTACTGGAGATGTCTTACCATTTATCCAATAGTTGTCACATTTTCTTCCTTGCAAATTGAAGCTCTTGGGAATTAAAAAAGGAGGATTTCTGTCTAGACCTTATTGTTAACAGTCTCTGTGGAACACATCCAACATCCTAGGGAAGGAGGTCACTTTCTTGAGTGCAGATGGACTAAGGTTGTATTATCTGGTGGCCATGTGCCATTTCCCTTCTGTCCTGCCTTTCTTGAGAGGAATTCAATTTCTGTCTTCTCTATATTCCTCTGATAATATAATCTTGTTTGGAAGAGATAAGTATAGTCATTTCACTATTAAAATTGACTGTGTATGGTTTTTTCTCYGAGAGTCAGAAAATTGGACATGATTTCAGCAATGAGCTTTGGGAATGGTAGGCTATTGATTAATCCTCTGTCATGCAGATTGTATTTGAAAACAAGACAGGTCTATAATTCTTTCCTTGAGTGACCTTTCTGAACCAAATAGAATAGTTTTATTTGTGTTTTTTGGGTGAACTATTAAGTAGAAAATGTTCTGATGTTTTCCCCAGAACTAGAAATCCACGACTCTTGGGGCATCAATGAAAGTGTTTTTATTTAAGTAATGTATGGCCCAAGATAAGGAAGTGAATTTGGAGCCTCGAAATGAAGTWTATGGCTTGGTCCCATCAAATATAATCAAGAACAAATGAAGTTCTGTTGGGTTTCTTTGTCATTTGAGAACTGCTGTATTCATATATGGTGGGATATTTTTCCTAGACATTTTAGGTGATGGAGGTTGGAGTTTTATTGCACAGATACTTGAACAATCCCCAAACATTCAGAAATAGTTTTATACGTGTACCCWATGAACCACATTATCTTGAGCTTTGCCTTAGCAGCAATTGTATCAGCTGTTTTTCTGTAGTGCAAGCAGTGTTGCAATTGTAGCAAAGATCAAAATTAGATTTTACAAAGGAGAAAGGTGACTTTATTATAAAACAAGCAGATTTTACTTGCTCTCACTCCCCTACTTGCATAATTGCAAGCTTTTTGAACTCTTCAGGAGCTTACAGTGAATAGGATTTTTCATCTCTGTATCCTTTCCTATCTCTGGGAAATCCTATGGTTTTCTTATAATTTTTCATCTCTCTGTCTGGGTGCTTAAAGCTCCAACCTTGTTCTTCATCTTCTTCATCACAATCTCTTAACTGCCATCCCTCTTTTTTGGCAGTCCATTGTTTTTCCTACCTGGGTCTCTTCAGAAGCTGCACATGGCTGCGCTGTGATTTTGACGACCTGCAGAGCTGGGTACCAGCAAAACCTTCTGTTGCTCCTTCTGGTGTTTTCCCACCTCACCATTCCCACTCTTTCTCCACAGGCCAACTTTAACCCTTCTATTCCAGCTTTCTATGCTTTCTGTGCYTGTTTTGATTTTGTTCAGTTAAAAATTTGCACATAACTTTCTGTAGTACTGTAATATTTTTATGAAGTAATGATGAATTGCTCACTTATTTCTATAATTTTCTTAACACTATTCTAATAATATGGACCTCCAAATTAACTGTATCATTGGAGAGATATCCTGGTCCTGATAAAAGCAGTCAGAAAGCCCAGAAAGTGACAAGCCCCTTAAAATAGCAGCATCAATGTCCACCCTTCTGCAACCTGGAAATCATTTGAAATGAGGCCATATTTGGAAGTCCAGACCTGAGGACCCATTGTCTGAATGGACTTTTGTCCATGTGAGAATAATAATACTCCTTGGCGTCCCTGACAGCTGTTCAACAGGTAAACGATATTTTAGGTAGTGAAGTTGAAAATGCAGAGCTCCTGTAGCATGCTTTTAATCCCCTGGTTATCCTCAGGGCTAACACAAACACAAAATGAACACCCTTAAATAGAGCTGAGCTCAGAATTGGRAGCCTCCAGTGTCTGAAATCAAATGCAAGTAACAAAATGTGCCCCGAGCCCACCCATCTCAGGTGGCACTGGATGCCCCTCTGGAAGGAGCCAAGCAGACAAAGGACCAGCTGCGTCGTCTGCCCGGCGCGGGGTTATATGTGGGGCTTTCTGGAGCAGGAGGAGGGGAGGTTCATCCATTATTAAAACACAGATAATAGAAACTTTATGCCCCACTGGTCTTGCATTAGACAACATGAACTGAAAGATGAGGTCTCTGCTAATTCAGTGCCTGGTACTCCTGAGACAGGCTCCCATGTGAGGGGGAAGCAGAGAGCACTTGTCTGTCTTGTTCTGCCTGATCCCAGCCACCYGAGGGTTCCTGCTCCTTCCCTAGCGATGGCCTCCTGTGACAGCTTCACTTTGCTGGAACAATAAAGCTGTCAGAAAGGAGGAGAAGACCAGCATCTACACGAGCCAGGCTGTGGTCACAGGATGCAAAGTCAGGCAAAAAGAAACGATCTCTACTCATGCCAGATCAAGTRCTTAATGTAAAACAGATTTCCAGCTCTCTCCTTCAGCAGTTGCCCTAACAGCAGCACCATTCTCAAAAAGGATAGTGTCCCACAGGCAAGCTTTGTCCTTCCCAGAGGGCTGGAAAAAGATGGATGTCTTTACATTCATTTCTTGAAGAAGAAACTAGGATGCCGTGGGTTATTCTCAGCAAATAAGAGCAAGCTGGAAAATCCCATAGCTGTTCTCTCTTTCTGGTGGCCCCATAACTTGATATGATACGGGCCTTTTTCCTATTAAACCGTGGGCTTTGAGAAACTCTACGCTGAGCATAGCTACAAACAAGTAGAGGAAAGAATGCTGAARCTAATGGGGGTAGCAATCCATGTCTGATGCAAATATTTGATGTGACAAAAACTGCTAACACCCCCTGCMTCCAAACAGAATGTTCCAGCCACATTCTGCCTTGAAGTTTCTGAAACCAAACCAACGGTCTATTTGGGGCACTCTGTAAATGTGGAGTGTTTGCGATTCAGGGATTTTTTTTWAAACATTTAGTGCAATGAGAGACAACATGTTTTCTGAAAGTGAACCATTYCATTCTGTCCCATGCATGGCTAGATTCGTTTTGGTAATCTGTGATTTTGGCTAAGGTCCCAAACCACTGGCAATGCAAGTCCTAAGCAGATGACTCTTTATGGTAGTGTTGGATACCAGAAACTTAAATAATGAAGTCCGTATTTTTTTCTTCAGTAGGAAAAATAAAACCATCTGAATGATATTTAATACAAAAATAGATTGAGAATTTAATCTACTGCAAAATTTGAAATGTATTTCACTCACTTTGAATATTTTCAGATATGCTGGTTTCAATTATTAAAGAAAATTTGAGCCTGATGTTCAGATAGCAATATTTTTCACATATTTTTAGTTTCACCATTTTACTGAGGGCAGGATAAGAGAATTGGAAGAAAACATCTACTTGTTTTTGTTTCTTATTCACAATTCTCTTGTAAATGTCACAAGTCAAGYTTTGAGGTGGGATTCACCGAAGTGTTTCAGTAAGAAACTTAATTGTACCCAGTGTATGTACCATTAGAAACAACTACTATTTGAAGCATTTCAGGATGTAGGAACAGATCCCTCCCATGTGATTAGACATAGAAAGCCTCCCTTGTTCTCTCAGAGTAGTGTAAAATGGACTCCCACTGTTGTCAGAGCATCTCAAATCACACTTTTCCTTCTCAGGGAAGTGTAAAGCCAGAGTGCAGGCATCCAGGGATGTTTCTTTGTTTTCAGGAGAAGTAGAAATAAGCCCTATTGCCCCAGTGGGTCTTTCTTCCCCTCGTTCTGTATCTCCCTGGAGTTCTGAAGGATATAGTATTTTGAATAATTTGCTTAATTTCAAGCTTCCTTTCCCACCACTCCYGCACAAAAGTGGCTTGTACTTAGCACAGAGATGGTGTGAATATTGCCCTCTTCCAGAATGAATTTCTGGGTATTTCTCAGAGCTATGGTTCATCTAAACTTTCTCCACTAAYCATTAAATATTGTGGCCACAGCCACAAAGTGCTCTTCCTTTCATCCTTTGCCCAGTGAGCGACCTGAATGSATGGTGGTGGGCTTTGTTCTTGGGTTAGAGAGGAAAGGAGGAGGGATGAGGAAAGTTTTATCTCTGTGTCTCTTGTTTTCTTGAGTTAATACTAATTTGTAATGAGTCACTTTTGAGAAGGCAAAGGAGTAAGTGTAATGCTGGTCCTTAGTCCCTGCTGAAGTTTATTCCCCGGTGTTAGATGGCCTCTTCTAAAGGTTTGTTGCCAGAACAGTCTGCAGCCTCCCCCAGAAGGWAGGCAGGGCAACATGCAGAGGTGCAGTCAGTTCCCTGCATCTACTCCAGGCAAGTCACACTCTCACACTGGGACAGTGCCCTCAAAGGGATGACAGATTTGATTAGAAATTTTATGGTGCACGACTTTACCAGACCAGCCGGCARGTTTGGTCACTGCCCTAGCCAACATCGTCACGAAAATGGGCCATAACATGGTGCACAAAATGTGGTTTCTGGTGGGTCAGGAGGTCCTTGATGAGCGTGTTTGCGGGTTAGGCAGAAAAGGTGTGCTATTCGCTCTACTGGAGTCACCACAGACTCTGAAAACCACCTGAATTACCAACTGGCTCAGCCAGCCATGGTGGTGGAGCAACCAACCCAGACACCTGCCCCCAGCAGGATGGAAGTTTGCTGTTGGCAGAAATGCAGTTGCTGTTCTCTACAGTGTGTAATGGGAAGTCTGCCCTTCATGGGTGCTTCTAGCCACCCCAGGGTGAGCTGCAAGTGGTGACAGTGGGCTGCATGCTTTGCTTCACAACTCTGGGGGATGTTATTATAATGTTCATTTTCAGCCTCTGAGATTAATTTTACACCTTGTACATTATTTCTGAAGGAGAAGAAAAATGTTGGAAAGTATTTAAAACAAGAGCAAGGTTAACTTTGAAATGTGGAGAGCACACAAAGCAAGGAGAYAAATATCTTTGGAGGCTTTGTCAAGTGACTTTGTGCAGAACCAGAGGAATTAGAAATGGTAACAATCTTGTTCAGTCCCTGCTTCTTATTCCCCTTCCAATGGAAGAACGCCTTGTTTTCTCCAGCTCCATCCTCTACCAGCGCATTTGGGTGATGGCAGGCAGATAAATTGTCAGGACAATATTTTCTGTGAGCACCTTTGCCTTGCAGAGGAAAGCCCACAATACCCATGGGGTCTGTGCTGCGGGCACTTACCTCCAGACAGCATCTGTTGCCCACAGATCCATTCAGCTCCCTCTGCAGAGAACTGAGAAGGTGTGGCATTCATCACTGCTGTGCAAGGGGCCTGTCTTCAGAGCTTCTTGTTAGCAGTTGCCTTCACTCAGCCTGCAGGTCAGCTCAAGCTGTTCTTTCACATGTTTTTTTCATTTATGCAGTTAATGGGAAAAAGCAAAACAAATGAAGTTGACTCGTTTTCCCTAGATTGAAAGGTGATTAAGGAACACCAGTAGCTGCCAAGCAGGTGTATACATCAAAGATGATACTAGTGTAGAGAAGCTGCCATTGTTGCTGGTTAGTCCATATTTTTAGTATTTTTCCATGTGATTAATTAAGGATAGGGTCTTTTCAGWGTGCATGAAATTTCCTTTCATAAACAGGTAATATTTTCCCACAGAATGAAAGCCAATTCTGATCTCAYTTACACCTGARTAAACATGRACTAACTCCAGTGGAGCCTCTTCATCTAATCTAATTTGCCTTTTTCCAAGTGTGTTGGGCATTAGGGTATCTGAATACCCGTGCTTATTCCCAGACACAAACTGATGTTACTGGTTCAGTCTTACTCACCATGCCCTGTCCTTCATGTATAATTTATCAGCCAGAATGATGTTAGGTGATTTGCACTCTGAAGTAACCATCAGTCAGGCAGCAAATGATGGATAGGTGGAGGGAGAGGAGATGGTATGAAAGATTAAGCAAAAAGCGAGAGTTCATACCACTGCTGGTCCAAAGCTAAAGATCCTCTTGGGTGTGAAAAATGCTGCAATAATGGTGAGGTATTTGTCTCGTGAACTCGTGCTATTACTAGGAAATCCTTCCATGCTGCCCAGTTCTGGAAAGCCCAGGTGCTTTTTTTTTGAGCATTTGCATCTTTTCTCTGGTCACTGTGCTCCACTCCAGCTTCTTCCTGATTCGTGATTCCCTTCCAACAATTCAGGTCCTCCTTGAAGAGTGGTCATGTATTCTGCAARAGCACTTGAGTGTGAGCAGAGGTGAGTTTCCCTGCCACAAAACAGGGCAGGCCAAATGCCAGAGAAAAGGGAGGAAGGACGAGGGTTAGGACAAAGAGTTAGGAAGTCAGTCCCACCATCAGCCTCACTGTCCTCACTGCCACCTCAAAAAGCAGGGTGGAAACAGAGACTAATGCTGTCAAAGTAGACCTGGCCATGAGATTTAGGCAGGACTTGAGGAGAGCCACTGAAACTGGTGACAATAAAAAGCTGAGAGTGATGTGGTACACTAGAGATCAGCCAGTGAGGGCTGAGCATGGAAAARTAGAGGGGAGAGGAAAGAGTGGGTCTTGTACCTATGGCCCTGACTGTTAATTTGTCAGTAAACACTGCAGCAGCTGCTTTTTCTGCAGCTTCTGGACACCAGCATCTTTTAAATTGCCATCACGCAGCCTTAGCACTGTGGCATGCTTGGCTGATGCCTTCAAAGGGGTCTTCACAGCATGGAGGGCGATAAACTTAAAGACCATTACCTCTATTGGGCCACTCATTCCAACTCTGTTGGAGCTCACAGGCATTGGTCTGGGCCAGGAATGACTATAAGTCAAATTTATTTTAAATTAGAGCTTCTGGTTTTGCAGGAACTTTTTTATTGCCCCAGGCAAGAAGAGGGATGGAACAGCGTTCCACCCTTCCAATATAAACCTGCGCTGGGCAAAGCCCACTGTGTGCTGGCTTTGCAATCCTCCTGCAGTGCTTCCTGTTCAGCAATTTCATTTGATTGCCATTGGCCAGCTTTAAAACCTGGGGTTTTAATCTGCTCTAAATTGGTGCAGCTCTACTGAAATGCAGTTTTCAGCCTGTGGTCTGTCAATCCCTAGGTCTCTGCAGACTTCTCCAAAAAAAATCTGTGAAAGATAACTAAGAAAAGCAAACCCTAATGTCAGTAGGCCTTAAATTGTCAATACACAGGGATTTTTCCTCCTATAGGCCTATTTGGGGTGCCAAAAAATTAAAATGACTGAAGATCATGAAAAGAGTACTGTTTGGAACTAGCTGAGGGTTTGTTTCTGACTGTTCATTGAGTAAAAAATCAGTTTTGAGGAGAGGAGATGATCCAGGTAGAGTAAGCAAATAGTACAGYTTAGGCTCAAAGTTCTGTGTGGTTTTAGAAAGCAGACTAAAACACTGTCGCATTACCATATATCTATTTATAAGCTGGCCTGGTTGAATAGCAGGAGATAGCAAAATGCAACTGGAATCATTTGAGCATGATATTTGGGAAAAATGTTTTTTCAAATATTTCTTCAGAAGGCCTATGCCTATCTCTCCTAAACTAAAAAATAAGCATTTGATATAATGTTTTAATATACTTTATATATCATAACCTCAGCTAGAAAAAAAAATACACATGTAGTCTCTTACAAACTTCAAAGCAGTGCAAGATCTTTCATTCATTTCCAGTAGTGTCACATGAATTTATCTTTTCCTGAGTTCCAAGAGTTTTGTATATTATATATGTAAGCAGGCMCTAATATGTTCTTCACAATATTTTATTTATTCTTCTCTTAGAAGTGGATAGAAGATGCATATGCTGTTTCACAAAGTATTTTGAGACTTAGCTTTGTCCTGCAGAGCAAGAAAACCTTCAGAAAGAAATTCAGGATTACTGAAGGCAACAGCTTCCTCCAAGATGTCTAAGCAGCTTTCTTGGAGACTGTCACAAATCTTCTTGTGTTTCTTAACTGTAATTTTTAAATATTACTTGATTCTGTAAAACGTTTTGATTTTAAAGATCTGCAAGTTCCAGTGGAATAGGGGTCCATACAAACTTCTTCAAACAGTTCTATTTCTTCGTAGCACTATGATTGCAGCACTGGCTGCTGGGAGAGAGTTGGAGCTAGAGCCAGATACCTAACAAAGGCTGGAGCTGTTTAGATCTCAAATCTAAATTCTCTGTGTTWTCAAACAGATTATTCTTCTGATATTCTCCAGCAACCACAGAAGAAAAAACACAACTCCCTGCTTTGTTACTTGCCCTG